AAAAAAAAAAAAAACAAAAAAAAAAAAAAAAAAAAAAAAAAAAAAAAAAAAAAAAAAAAAAAAAAAAAAAAAAGAGCCCAATAGTCCGGGAAATGATCATCAGCCGCGTTAGAAAACCATTTCACAGACGCCGCATCCTACCTGGCGACTCATAAATGCACCTCGCATTAGTCGAGCTGAAAGCATCTTGATATGTCGTTTTAGCAACCCCACGTAACTAGTGGATAAATACCCGACCCGACGCCAATACTCGACCAATGAGGTCCTCTAGCACTCGACATACGCCGCGTGACGACACATCACGACATAACAGCCCTCCATTTCACAATGGAACGCGAATCCACCCAAAACTACAGATATCTCAATCACGTCTAAGAATCCTCATTAGACAACTGTAACAAGGGTATATTACTGTGCACGACCAGGCAGCGGGTGTGCCTTTGCCCATTCTTCGATAGGCGTTAGGTTTACGGGTAATTCCTTCAGCGCCTCGGTCAAGTCGGGACTGAACTCGTTGCTTTCGCGATAATAAGTGTAGGCGCGGCGCATCTGGTTGATGACGCTATCCAGGTCCAGACTCGATCGCGCCTTCATTGACTGGCTGATCTTGTCGCAGAAGTCATCCACACTCTGGCTTTCGTACTTCAGTGGCCGATTCCATGCACGGGACAACTTCTCTGTTAGCTGTGGTAGGCGAACTGTCTCGGGCCCCGCGACGGCAAAGTTCCGACCAGCAAGATCTGGCCTCTGCATAGCGGCTATCATGAATTTTGCAATATCGTCGTGGCAGATCCATGAGACATCAAGAGTTTCCTGATGGCAATACATAACAGTATCACGGTCAACGAGGGCCGGCCTTGCCCAACCCTCGAGAAGGTTATCCAGGAATACAACAGGTTGGATCGAGATGACAGGCAGACCAGTAGCTCTAAGCAGCCGGCGCATCTCTCGCCTGTCATCCTGCGCTTCTATGTTCTTTGTCTCATCCGGGACCGGCATGCTAGTGTTGAAGATAAGCAGTCGAACATTTTTGCTCTCGGCCGCTGCCTCTCCTATTGACTTCGCAGCAGCAATGACAGGCTCGGAGTTCTGAAATGAAGTTGATGGAAGATTGAGGAAGACAATCTCGCCACCAGCTAAAACTTCCCGTATCCCTTCAGTGTTGGAGAAATCAAGCGCAAAGGTCTCGACGGGTTTCCCTCCTATCTTGATTTCCTTGGGATTGCGACTGACTGCTACAGGATGGTGACCAGTTCGTACCAAAGCGGCAACCTGAGCGGCTCCTAAAATATGTCAGCTTCCTGTTTCTCATTGGCGCCTGGCATCTTACCCTGCACACCAGAAGCACCAAAAACGATTACGCGCATGATGTCGAGTCGCAATCGATCGGGGTAGCTTCAGTACACAATACCTGCCACAGTAACTTAGACTTAGGTCGATCTTCTTATCTAGGGTTCAGATAACTATGGCCACCCTGCATTTGCTTTCTTCATGGCTTTTGTTACTCTTAGTCCCGTAGGTCAAATGTTGTCGTCTGTCAGTGGGGGAAATCTCGGGTAAACTTTCGCGAACCGCATTCCCCGCACTATACTGCACGGCAGAGCGCAAGGAACCCATTACACGAGGGATCATGTGCGAATCAGAATTGAAGTCACAATTTTGGTTAGGGGTACTCATAGTGACTGTGAAATTAGTCTCGTATGACGCGATTCTTTAACCGACTTGGATAGTCACAGGTATGCTCCGCAGGCCAATGCCAATGCACTATGTTACAGGTCATGCCCCGCCTTATCATTTAATGCTTTCATTTTCCATAACGAAAAAAAGCAATGCCTTACATTATTGTAGAGTACTTTGCTATGGGCACAATCTCGCGGTTTTAGCAACAAATCATCGAGCTTCGTCCGTCCCTGTTTAGGCACTATGTCTAGGCGACTATAAATACTCAGCTGACCGCAATGTTTACAATGAAAGCAGGAAGGACTTAGTCCCGCCCCTAATCGGGTTGTCAAATGTCACCCTTATCTCGATTACTTGCCCCCAAAGTACGACAACAAGTGTCCTATGCAATTTAATGCTTTTGCATGTATTGTACCAACTGAAAATCTGCTAAGACATTTTTAGGACAACTTCAAGATCCGTGAAAGTAAGCCAATGTGTAAGCAGTCTCAACTCGTAGGTTTTGAGAGTAGCCATGTCCTTACATGGTCAACAGTCTGTATTCAGAAGAGTCGCCAGGGTTAGTTATATGGTAGTCTCGGCAATTGCACGAAGTCGTTGACAACTCAGCAATCATATTGACTCGACTCTTATCCTGCATTCATCCACAAACATCTCAAATCCCCCCATCATGGGAGAGCAAACGCCCAACTGCGATACACCGTTGGTAGAAAATGCATACAGTGTTCAACTGTCGATTAAGAGGGAGTTATATTCGGAGACTGGAATGATGTCTTGTGTCGTCTTATCTGAGAAAATAAGCCACCGCTAACAATTGAAAAGCTTTAGCATCTAAGGTTGCCGGGCGGGGCTCAAGCCCGGAAAGCGTGTGTTGGGCCAAGGATCGTCGCTATCTCACGCCTCTGTGTAGTTTCTCAAACGACTCAGATTCGAAGGCCAGCCTCCATTCACGACAGGACGAACGAAACATGCCTTGATTGGTCTTATCGCATTGACGGTTTGATATGTCGGAGAACACGAGCCGGTCCTGGTCGCTTCATTGAAAATGTACGCGGCCGAGAGAACTACTCCTAGTTAGGTGCCGCGGCTAGGCCGGTGGGCTATCCTATCAGAGCTAGGGCGCTGCCTTAGAGCATCGAAAGGGCCCACAAGAAATATTCTCCTCGCGAGATCTAACTCCGTACACTACGGGGCTACAAGCCTCGGCACCGACGGAGACTGAACAGTGAATCAACAGGGCTCAGGACACAAAACCAAGAATCACGTTGTCGTGTCGTTACCAGTTCTCTTTGTCAGAGAACGATAAGGGAACCTTCCAACGTGTCAGGTTAATGAAGAGGGACTGACTGGCCAATGATCGGCCTCCTCTTGATCATTGATTTCCTTCGGTCGCGCAGGGCCCGCCCAGGGCCAACTTCAACCTAGCTCCTTACTGGATTGCCTCTAACCTCAAGGGCATACCCGAACCCAAGCCAAGCAGCCAAGGAAAACAAGCAATAACGGCTATGCGCCCCCCGAGGATTTATGATCGCCTTGCAGGTCTTGGCTTTTCAAACCTCCCCATGGCATAATTCAACTGCCGGCATAGACTTCGACAGTGTATCTGCCAACACAGATATGACACTGCTCTACCCCCCGGTGAAGCTAGGAAGATAAGAGATGGTCGCGGTTTGTAATGCCATCTCGGTTTCTGCTCTGTGCCCCATTTCTTTCGGGCTCCTCCGGCGTATTGGAACAGCACTACGAAATCCCTTTCGAGGGGTTCGCCTGTTCGCCTCGACTTCCGGCCCCATATCACACTAACGCGACAGGTCTCAGCCAGAGTGCGCGGCTCCCGCAAGTCGGCGCGACTCGTGTTAGCGGATTTGCAAGCCCCAAGTACTGAAACTCCCAAACCCGCTGCAGACCCTTCCGTGCTTCACACCATGACAGCTAATTCAGGGCAAGTCTGTCTTGCAATGCCGTCCAAAGCATCCGTGCTGCCGGGTACCCTATGATATTGCGTCCTGCTGCGACTGACGCGTCTTTCCCACTGGCTACTGTCTGTTATCTACGCCCGTCTCAACTCGCCGGTTTCCTATCAGGGCGTCGAGCATCAGCCACTCTCGGACGAGATCGCCCACCATGTACCTAATAGCGCCAGTCAACCCTGTGGGGTGTCTGATAGAAACGGCGCAAATAAAGATGGCGAAACCCACATGTCGTTGACCATATTTCAAGTCCCTGCCGCCCATGACTAAAATTTTATTTTACTGCTTCGGAGAGCGCCTATTTCCTAGAGAGCACGCGAGCAACCTGCCGTCTCGAACGCACGCTTCTGCTCAGACACCCGTGCCACCATGAACACATCGTCGGCCGAGCGCACTCACGACCTGGCTGAGAAGGGAAACGGGCCAATCAAGGGGGATCATATGTCCTCAAACGGCAACCTGAGCGATGACGACATTGCCCTCGCCGCGCTTCGACGCATCTCGGCCGAAGACCCTGCTCACCCGATTCACTGGGCTGTCTGGAAGAAATGGGTCATCACGGCCATCTACTGCCTGCTTCAGACGTTTGTCACTCTCACGAGTACGACATACGTGAGCGCCGAGTTCCTCATCCAGGAGAAGTTCAATGTCTCGAACACTCAGATTGTGGCTCTCGGACAGAGCATGTTCATTTTGGGAACTGCCGTAGGACCGGCATTCCTGGGCCCGCTTTCGTATGTCAAGAGTCTATATCCAAGTAGCAAAGCCGCGATTTGCGCGCTGTTCTGCAATGGCTAACATAAAACCAATCCAGTGATATCGGCGGCCGAAAATGGGTCTACGTTGCAGCCATCTTCACGTATGCTCTCGTGAACATTGGGTGTGCCTTGCCCCTAAACTTGCCCATGCTAGTCATCTTCCAGTTTCTTAGTGGGACAACTGGTAGTGTGGCTCTGTGCAATGTTGCAGGCACGATTGCCGACTTGTTCGGCAGCGAAGACGGCGCCGGGCAGCCTATGGCGCTGTTTGTGGCGTCAGCCAATATTGGCCCAAGTGTCGGTTCGCCTGTTGGTGAATGGATTGCTGATAATGTAAACATGGGTTTGCCCTGGATCTTTTGGATCAAGTATGTTGTCAACTTGCATGAGTGCCGTGGGGCGACTATGCTGACCAACGTAGTGTGATCATTGCTGCTGCCTTTGCCATCGGAATGTGCTTTATCCCAGAGACACTACCCAGCATCGTCATACGAGAGGATGCCCGGAAGCGACAGGCTTCTGCGCCTGAGGAGGTTGCCGTCCTCGAGGAGAAAGTCGATGTCCTGAAGGAAATCAAGTTCGTCACCCTCATGGCTTTGCGAATCATGGTCACCGAGCCGATCGTGACTCTGCTGGGTATCTACAACGGTTTCGCATACGGGCTGCTGTTCCTGTATCTTGACGGAGTCTTCGATGTCTTCGTGGTCAACAATGGACTCTCGTATGTTGGCTTTCTTTTTTGCCTGCTGAAATTGCCTCACTAATAGCCCCAAAGATACATCCAAGCTGATTTGACCTACCTCAACTTTGTTGTTGGTGTCGTGGTCATGTTCTGTTTCATTCCGGTTCAGACCTATCTGTTCAAACGTGACCGCCTGGCGAACGGCGGGGTTGGCCGCCCCGAGGCCAGATTTCTGGTTTCACTTGTCACGGTCTGGGGATTTCCCATATCCCTTCTGTGGTTCGCATTCACTTGCGACGGCAACACTTCGTTCTGGTCCCCCGTGGTAGCCGGTGGCCTTCTGGGTTTCTGTGATCCATTGCTATGGCTTGGAATGTTGAACTACATTGCCGATTCGTACACGAATGTTGCCGGATCTGCAATTGCCGCGTTTCTGATCCCTTCGTTCATAATTGCTGCAGGCTGCGCCCATGCTGGTAAGTGCCCAAGGTTCTGTTTCGACCGTTTGAACTGACTAGACTAACCGCAAATCCAGGGATCGCGTTGTTTGAGGATTTAAGCTCCAAGTGGGCAATGGCCATTCTCGGTTTTATCTCGTTCGGACTCGTTGCTTTGATTTACGTAGTGTACTTCTTTGGGGCCAAAATGCGGGCTAGATCGAAGATCGCTAGATCTTAGATGGGCTGGCGGGCTCCAGTCAGATGGGCGTCGCCAAACCCATCGTGTATTAACATGTAGATGCCAAATATGGAATGACACTGTATGATTTGAAGGATGTAGAAATATTACTAGGTAGATGAACTGGATATAAACTGAACTTGAACAAACGTTGAAGTCTCGATGAAAAAGAAAAGCCGATCCGACGTGGCATTGACGTCCAAGAAGGGACGGGTGGTGGTGAGGGTAGTGTCGCTAAAATGGCACTAATCCGCTATAGGAAATCTCAGACGCCTTGCATCGCTCCCTTGCATCACAAACCGGCCACCTCTCAGCTCTTTCCCTTGGACCACTGGAGTTCTTCGAGGAGTTGACAACACAAGGACAAAGTGGTGTCGCTTAGCAGCAGGCAATGTATCTGTCAGATGATTTGTTGGGGTTGGCCCCCTATATTATCCTCGCTGTCGCCCATGTTTACCTATTTCGTATTAATCAGCTTCTGAAGGGCACACCCGATGAGATCCGGAAGCTGTCGGGCTCGCGCTGGACGGCGGATCAGCTGAAGACGACCTATCGCAGGCTTGAAAAGAAGTCTATCGATTATACCGACAAGCTTCCACCAAAGCTAGATCGGCGCTACATCGTAACCGGTGGCTCTGGTGTGTCATGCTTCCCCGGCACCCCGGAATCAATGCTGATCGGTGACAGGTCTGGTTGGTGGCTTCATCGTCTTGCAGCTTCTGGCGCGTGGTCATTCTCCGAAGAGTATTCGCATTGTAGACATCCGGAAGGCAGAGCGAGATGACATGTTGTCGGGTCCAGCCACCAAGGTCGACTTTATCAAAACAGACATCACGTCACAGGCATCTGTGGATGCAGCCTTCAAGAAGGCATGGGATTCCTCGGTCGCCCATCTCCCTTTGACAGTATTTCACACTGCGGCTGTGATCATCCCCTCTGATAGGTCGAAGTACTACTACGGCTTTCCGGAAGCAGTCAACGTCCGAGGCACCAAGAATGTCTTGGAGGCCGCCAAAGCAGCGGGTGCTGACATATTCAGCTCCACTTCATCTGGTTCCATCGCAATAAAACCCATTCAGCCTTTCGTTGCTCCCTGGGCTAGCTCGCCAAGGCGGTTTTGGCAAGTGCTGGATGAGCAGGACTTCTACAAACCGCTACGGCCACACGAGGAGTTCTTTGGCAACTATTCAGCATCAAAAGCTGCCGCAGAGCGGATTGTTTGCGGAGAAAATGTAGAGGAGTTCCGTACAGGATGCATTCGGCCAGTGAACGGTGTGTATGGAAATCCTACTGATAACACCGTAGGTGGTCCCTTGGCCAGACCGGTACTCCCAACGTAAGTTTTACCCTGACAATACTCATACTATGGATTGTGCGGCTAAGTGTAGCAACAAGATGGATATCCCATATTGTACAGAACTTTGTCCATGCTGCTAATGTCGCAGTTGCTCATCTGCACCATGAGGCTGTTCTTGTCAATCCACTTGCACCCCAAGCGGGACGACCCTTCGTGGTGACGGACCCCAATCCGCCAATCACGTATAGCGATCTTTATATGGCCATCAAGACCTTATCCATCCACCCCCTCTTCGTCATGAACCTTCCTCCAGTTGTGATGCTCGTGCTTGCTCACGGCCTCGAGTGGTACTCGGTATTGCCACACAAGGTACCTTTTCTCAAGGCCATGCTTCCGGAATTGAGAGGAGATATTAGGTACTTGAAGCCTGGACTCTTTTCAATTTGCACACATCTGGTGGCTTCGAATAAGGAATCTTCCAAGCCAGTCAGTGACGGCGGACTTGGTTATACAGGTGTGATCACGACCTTGGAAGGCATGGCTTTTCAGATTCTTGAGTGGAATCGGGAGCATGCGTCGATGGATGGGGGTACGAAGCGCAAGGCATACACGACTTCGGTGTCTGCCGCGGAAAAGATTCAGCATCTTGGCATTATGGCACAGGATTTTGTCGCACAAGGGCATTAGCTTCTACCTTCTTGGAAAGACACCACTTGGCTTTTCCACACAACTGCAAACTAGAGTTGCGGACCCGAGCGGAAGGCACTGCCGATCATGTCTCGTTACCCCACCGAGAAGAGACAAGATGATCCTCACGTCTGCATAATCAAATGTAAGCGGAATAAACCTTGGCACGCGCTTCCGTCCATGCACCCGCCAATGGGCTTTGTCCATTTAAGCCTCTACCGGAAACGGGTTCCATCACTCTGACGGCAGGCAGAAGTAGGCTCTTATAGAGACGCAAGCTTGGAAGCCGGTGTGAGTGAGTGTCTAACGATACGAGAACTCTATGATTCAAAAAGGTCAATCATTCGTCAGCAATATAATATAGAAGGTTTGGGACGGAAAGTTCCCCTGGCGATCGGAACATGATGGATGGCGAGCTCACTGTCGGCGTTAATCCCTTGAACCACTTGCCATTGGCTACATCGCAAGGCAACAGGTAGCATCTCAAGCGGTTGATGCAAACCTCCTGCAATTTCAAGGAGATGATCGAGCATGGCAACATAGGCTCAGTGTTTTGTTGTTCTGAGGCGCCTTTCTCTTACAGGCACGGATTTTTCCTCTTGCTGGTTTCCCGAGTCTCAGACTTTGTCGATGATCACCGGTCTCAGTATCCTAGTCTCATAAGACTGTCTAGCATAGTGTCTTGTGCCGCTATACTATTCGCTTCTTTACTATTTCATCGGAAGGTTCCCATTGAAACAGATGCACTTGATGATACACCGGATTAGTAATTTGCAATAACTCATTGTCTATAAAGGCCCGTGATCGCTCTCACGATTTAAATGGTGCAACCCACGACTCCTTTTATCTAACTCTTGCTCTATAACGTCAAGTTTCTCGAAGAACTTACCCTACTTACCATGTTGCGACTGCGCTCATCCATTTACGGGGTTCTTATAGCTATTGGTTTAGCTGAAGCTCAGCCCTTCATATACGGGCCACCAGAAGTCTCTACGTCATCAGCTTCCGGAGGCTCTTCTGCTGTATCTGGCTCCTTTGCACTGCCTACAGCTATTCCTTCGGCAACCTCCACTAATCCTCATGGGCTATATTCTACCACACCCATACTACCGATAGAATCCCTAAAGTGGACCCCAACCGGATATCCTTGGTCTACCTTACAGATGGGAACCCCGACCTGGGCCATAATTGGGCCCTGGTCAACCTCAAATTTGGATGCTACGTTTGGGACGCTTTCGTCTACTTCAGAAGTAGACGCTGCAACCGCGACGACGGGCTCTCCGTGGTCAACATTAGCAATGGCTCCTCCAACCTGGGCGGAAACTGGACCATGGTCAACCTCAGACGTGGGAGATCCAACTTGGACCGCGACAAGGTCGTGGTCAACTCTTGTTGTAGGAACCCCGACATGGACAGCATCAGGGTCGTGGTCGACCCTTGTCGTGGGAACTCCGACATGGGCATCGCCGACCGCAGCCTCATCAACGTCAGATGTAAAACCTACAGCGAATCCTGTGTATATGGTACCAAGAGAATGGCAGGTGTAGTAGTGTAGTCAGAGGAGAATAGTTAAAAGCGGAGAATAATGGCTTCATGCCAAGGACAGCCACGCCTGTTTTTCTACGCCTTTGTTTCCTGGTCTTCCTTGACATGTAATTCTGGAACCAGTTTTCGATAGTCTGGTTCAAGCCAAATTTCCGAAGCCTGACCGGTTTGCTGGCAAGGAAGGGCGTATGTCTTCAAGGAGCTCTACAAGGAGCTGGGAAGATAACGTTATTATTAAACTTCTGTTCCTTTTATAATGCAAAAATTCCGTCTAGGGGTAGCTGAGCGAAGGAGAGGTGTAATGCAACGATTCATCTCGATTGAGTATACATAATAATGAATAAAAGCAAGGCGATTTGGGAGTACCTTTCATCTAAGGCAGACCTAAAATGTTCTTGATCGACATCCAGCAGTTCCTACGGGACCTAGAGTGACGTGTTAGAGTAGCAAGTTATTTTGAGCAATCTCAACAAGTCTTCAAACCTAATGTTCAAACCTAACGGCAATAAGACCCCAAAGTATGTCTCCATGAGATGTGCTAGCAGACCTGAGAAGGACGGCAACCCCGACAATACGTTCAGGGTCTGGAATGAAAGAGCTTTGACCTCGACTAGAAGCGAGATACGATTAGCATGAAGCAGCATGTCCGGATCTAGATACAACAAGGGGAGCGCTATTACGTACAGTACCTTTCGCATATCAAAGCACTTGACTTTGGATACTTTCATGCATGGTACATATTTCAGCACCACTTTCATAGGTCTCAAACAATGGGGTTGTGAGGCCGTTGTCTGAAGAAACTGTCGTTTCGTCGACAAAGAGACCCAACAAGACAGTACGATTGAGGTTGCCGCGGGAAGTGTGATAATCATTGTCTGGAGGGGGCCAGGTGTGATCAAATTCAACAAGAAGGGGTTAGAACAGAACGGAGGATTTGGCTACATAAGTATCGACTGAATGCACGACAGAGGACCATTGAACAACCGATATCCGACATAGTCTCCTGCAGGGTTCGACAACAGCACGAAAGAACATTGCACCGGCAGATTGTGCTGGAAACCTACAGGAACACGTCCTGGAGAGAAAGCACTTTCGTTCAGTGACAATGGCTTTCAACCGAAGAGGTTCCAATGCCTTGCGCTCTCACGAGTCAGCCCGTGCGAGCTTCGTGTACGACGAGAATATCGACCAACACGTCGACAGCCTGCAGGGTCAGCCGGCAAACCCGCTCCAGTATGGGCGGTCGCCGGCAGTCAGCCGCGCCAGCAGCCTGCGGGTCAGCACCAGCGCCGGCATGACATCAACACCCCCCAGCCCGCTGCCCAGCGCGAACCGCCAAAGCTTTTTCCCTTCCACGCCACCTCCATTCTTGCCAGGCATGTCGAGCCAGGAGTCCATCGACAGGCGAAGCTCCAGCAGCAGCACCGCCGGGGTGCCGCCCGCTGTCCGCCGGCCCCTGGGGCTCCTCCGCCGCGTAACCTCGGGCACACGAACGCTGTACGAACGGCGGAAGGAGAAGGAGGCCGACGCGCGACGCGTGCCGCCATGCCCGCGCCACGAGACGCCCAGGTGCGCCCAGGACCTCCACTGGGTGGCGGGCGCGGACTTCGCGGTGCCGCAGCCGCAACGCGAGGATGGGCTGGCGGTGCAGGCGCTCACCTATGACAAGCTACGGTTCGACCCGGACTCAGACCCGCTGATAGGGGCGGCCGAGGAGCGGGGTTTCCGGTACCGCGAGCCCCGGAACCACTGGTTCCACTACTGCAACACGTGCAAGCTGGCCTTCCTCAAGGGCAGCGCAGGCAAGGCCGTGGCGACGCACCCGGGCCACCTGGCCGAGGCGGACGCGGGCCAGGGCTTTGGCACGCGCGCGGTCGCGGTCTACGTCGACGCGACGCCCGGGTACGGCGACGGGCCGAAGTGGTCGATCTACTTCGGGCCCAAGTCGCCGTACAACGAGCAGAGCAGCCCGGCGGGCATCCTGCCGGTGCAGGTGGAGCTGCGGGCGATCTGGACGTGCCTGACGCAGGTGCAGAACCGCGTCGTGACGGCGCAGCAGGAGCGCGTCCGCGCCAAGCTCAAGACCAACAGTGCGGACTTCGCGCTGGCGGCGCAGCGCTTCTCGCTGCTGGTCTTCACGCCGCTCAAGTCGGCGCTGGCGCTGTGCGCGGACGAGGCGGACCGCGTGCTCGAGCACGTCCAGCAGGATTCGGAGACGCCTGGCCCCGCCGAGGCCGCCTTCGCGTACCCGGAGCAGACGCCCGACTGGGTGGCGGCGCGCCGCGCCAGTGCCGAGTGGCGCGAGGAGAAGGCTCGTGTCGAGCTCGCGGTCGTGCAGCTCGCGGCTGTCGGCGTGCAGGTCCGCTTCTACTACACGCCGGTCGAGGGCGAGTACGCACCTGAGTGGAAGGCGCTGGCGTCGGCGGGTAGCTTCGCTTAGTCGTCCCGCGACGACATTGCAGGCTTCGCGATGTTGGCTTGACTGATCTGTTCAGGGTCGAGGAAGGGAAGAGTCAAAATAATGAAGGCTAACTGTGCTACAGGTCGGTATCATCGCATTCGGCAACGTGTCGACGGAACAATGGTGGTGCTGGAATTAGTGGGGAGGTTGAAAGGTAGGTAGATGAATCACAGTAAGTTCTTCATTGTCAAGGAGTCTATCGCCCATTCGTGAAATCCTACGGTGTTTTGTTCATGATTAACTTAATGAAAACTACACCTGAGGGACGTGAAATTCGATAAGTGGTATGGTAGGTAAGACCCGGACTAGGTCAAGGGGTCAATCACGCCCCCTTGCCAATGTGTCATCTGAGTATATCTCCAACCACATCGTTCGTGTCAAATCGTGTAGCGAATGAACCAGCTGGACTTGGAATGGCGTTCTCTAGAGGCCTCACCGCAATGAAAACAGCTTATTCTAATGTGTCGACCAAGATCATGAATCAGCGAAATGATGAACAAAATGTTGATGTGATCTCGTATATACCATTTGCCACCAAGTGAGAGCAACCGGTCGCAGCTACGGGTCCATAACACGCATCAACTGGGCCTGGAGCACGCGAATTCGAAACCAGGCCAACATGTCGTCAGAGACGCCGACAAACGCCATCTTATGCCATCTCAAGTCAAGATAAACACCTCTCCCCGCTCTTCATTCATTGTTGCCGTAAGTCATGCTGTTCTAGTTTCCTTCGCTGCCAAACTCCTTGGTCCAGTCTTGATTCCTCGTCAGATCCTCGCCCGAGACTGTTGGCCGCGAGCCCTTGATGGCTTTGACGAAATCCTTGAAGTCGACCAAGGGTTCGAGCAGTTGTTCCGACTCGATCTCGTCCCACGTCATCTCCTTAGCCCCCGGGTCGCCTGGTGAACACGGCGTTACGCGGGTCTGGCCATCTTTTTGTACCTGATGGGCCGCTTAGCATAGTACTAGGGGACCTGTTGAAGGGCCGTAGGAAACAGTACTCACCTCCTTGAAATGCGTAGCTTGTTGAATCTTTCGAACTGGTTGCATGAGCGCATCCTGGACAGCGATGGTGATATCACTGCCCGAGTATCCCTCAGCCAGTTTCGCCAATTCCTTGTAGTCTTCATTTTTGAGCGTCGTGGGCGTCTCTCCAATGGCAATCTTGAACATGGTTGTCCGTGCCGAAACATCGGGCAGACTGATGTGCACTCGCCTCTGGAAACGTCGTCGAATGGCGGCATCGAGCTGCCAGGGGATGTTCGTCGCACCGAGCACCAGCACACCAGTCGAGTCATTGCCTACACCGTCCATCTGTACAAGCATTTCCGTCTTGATTCTTCGGGATGCCTCGGACTCTCCTTCGCCTCGGGGGCCGCAGAGGGCGTCGATTTCGTCGATGAAGACGATGGAGGGCTTGTTTTCGCGGGCCATGGCAAATAGCTGCTTTACTAGCCTGGCGGAATTCGATTGCTGTTAGCGACCCAAGTTATGAAAGGCGAAAGTCGCAACCCGACCCGAAGATATGTCGGGGGTGATCTAATGGGCGCGATCATGGTCAAAACGTACCTTTCACTCTCACCCATCCACTTGCTCACCAGATCGGAACTCGAGACACTGAAAAAGGTACTGTTTGCCTCTGTCGCGACGGCCTTGGCCAGATAACTCTTTCCGGTACCGGGGGGCCCGTAAAGCAGGATACCCTTCCAGGGCTTGCGCTTCCCCTGGAACAGATGCGGGAACTTGATGGGCAGCAGGACTGCCTCCTTGAGAGCCTCCTTGGCGCCGTCGAGACCTGCGACGTCCTCCCACTTGACGTTGGGGCGGTCCTGCAGGATGGCGCCGGACAGGGCGTTGCGCAGCTTCTTGCTGTCCTCGTCGACCTCGCCGCCCTCGCCGTCCTGCTTGCCCTTGCCAGTGCCGCCCGTGCTGGAGCCGTTAGCACCCACCATGCCGGGTTTCTTGCGCTTGGCCTCGGCGTCGGACAGGTGGGCCTTGAGCTTCTCGGCACGGTCCATGTACTCGGCCGTCTTGGAGCGGATCATCTCCTTGGACTTTGGGTTCTTCTCCCACTTGAGGGCCAGCATGAACAGCTCGAGGGACTGGTAGTAGAGCTGGTAGGCCTTGTCGTACTGGTTGCCATTGTCGGCGTCGATGGCGCGGCGCACCGTGTCGATGGCGCGGCCGAGGAAGTCGGTGTTGGACATGGCGGCAGCGGCAGGGGCGAAGACGGCGGTGACAGACGGCGAAGGACGGACGCGATGCAAGGCACAGGCACAGGCGCAGGCACAGACCGACTGAGGTGGTGGGAGGTTGGTTGGCTGTTGTTGCCAGGCACGACGCAGACGGACCGAGGAACGCCTTGGTGAAGAATCGCAACCGGGTGTCCCTCTCGTTTCTCGTTTCTCGTTGAGGACGACGAAGAGGCTGGTGACTAGAAGCAGTGTCTGCCGCGGCTTCGGGGGCGCGTATCGTGTCGAGCCGTATCGTATCGTGGTCGTGGAGTAAGGCTGGCTGCTTGACTTGACTGTCCAGGTCAGGTTGTGATGGGCGGGGCGGGCGGTTGCTGTGACGTCCATGCACCACCACACCACCACTCCCACTCCCACTCCCACCCCCCATCCGTCCCAGCGGCCGCCGTCCATTCGCCTGGGAGATCGGGGGCCTGGGGCCTGGGGCCTGGATCCCAGGTGCTGGCTGGCTGGCGCCCGGGGCCGGCGTCCACTGTGAGCTAGCGGCTGGCGCTATGCTTATCGCGGATGGCGGGGCTTATCTATTGGGCTTCTGCCTCTGACTCTCCCCGTCTTGCCCGTGTCCCGCCCCGGCAGCCACAGACAGCTCTCAGAATTGCATTGGCGGCACCTGGCAGACGAGGACAACACCCAGTCGCATATCCGTGATCTTTCCTACTGTTTCGGCATTGCAGAGAAGAGCCCTGAAGCTTCTGTGCCTGGCGACTTACACCTGTGCTCATCTACTCCTGACACGCGTGCCACGGTCCAGCAGAAGGTCGCGAAAAATGGCAGAGGTTCAGGCCAAGCTCCAGTCCCTCTCGGAGGAGTTTCAAACCCTGCAGCAAGGTATGACAGATAGCTCCCCTTCTGCCCTCCATATGTCCAGATATCCTGACTGGTATCATAGAACTCCAGGCAGCTGTGGCGTCGAGACAGAAGTTGCAGGCTCAGAAGACGGAGAACCTCGGTGTGCAAAAGGTAGCGCCCCTCCTTGTTCCACTGAACGGAACACCTGCATTTCCAGGTCGTTTCGAGACTTACTCGCGCACAGGAGTTTGAGAGGTTAAAAGATGGCGAGAGCATCTACAAGCTGGTCGGCCCCATCTTGCTGAAGCAGGACAAGATCGAGGCCGACGGCACCGTCAAGGGCCGTCTGGAATTCATCACCAAGGAGCTGTGGGTAGCCCCTATTCCGGCACCCGGCAGAGAAAGACCGCGAGGCTGACACACAAGCAGGGAGCGCACAGAAGGACAAATCAAGGAGGTCCAGCAGAAGATCGAGCAGAAGAAGACCGAGATCATCCAGATCCAGTCGGCGGCTCAGGCAAGCGCAGGAGGGGGCCAGGGCCAGGTGGCGGCTCAGGGGTGAGCAGCGGGCAAAGGACAGCTCGACAAGCGGCCAGCACAAAGCGCCGGCGCATGACCATACGCCAGGACTTGGGGAATTGCTTCGTGGCAAAGCCTGGCCCAGGTCTCCAGCTATGCTTGATGCAAGGTGGGGGCTAACTTGTAGGCCTGGCGGTAAGGAAGTCCCAGGGGAATTTGGATGGAATATTTCGAGGGCATAGCCAGCTACCTAGGTACCCGACGGGCTCCCGTATGGTACAGCGCCGAGTAGGCAAAGTGCAAGCCCATGAAGAGACGTTCAAGTGCCACTGCCGCTGCACACAAGTTAAGTGGGTGTTCCCAGTTTGCACAACGATTGGAAGTGCATTTGCAATTCGTAGCATTTGGTTGCCTGTACCTGCAATCGGCCAATGTTGGTCAGTCCTATGCAATTTGGATCCATGTGGTTGACTTATGCATTTACAAGGGCAAGATGGGGAGCTGGCTGATGACGTTGGGCTGTTTGGCGGGACTTGGCGGGGTATCCATTCGCTATCTGGGCCTACTCGGGACCCTGATGGCTGGCGCGCGTCGCTGTCGCAGACCACCACCAGCACAGAGCAGGCCGCAGCTATCCATAGATCCGATCCGTGACGACGACCTCAGCATTCCACTCATTTCATCTTCTGCCAGCCTAGCCCAGTCCAGTCCAGTCCAGTCCAGCACAGGCACCCGCCAAAGCGACCGCCGTCTGTTTCCCTTCTTCAGCTTCCGCGTCGTCCGGCTGAGGCGATGCACGACGACACATGCCGATAATCTTCTGACCTTGCTCTCGATCCCCCTTCTTTGTCGACCGGCCCCTGTGACATCTCTCCCACCGACTGCCCGTGCGACCCGACCACGTCCGCCATGATGGAGGCTGAGGAGGGCGGACGGCCCAGGAGCGTCCAGGAGCTCTCCAAGGAGTCCCAGGACTTCCACTTCAATAAGAATGTGCCCCTCAAGCACTGGCTGCGGACGGCCAAGACCCTGAACACCGAGGTACGTGGCCTCCTACTCCGTCCAGCACCTCTCTGCGATCGCCATCGTTCAGAACTGACCCGACCGACCCCCACGTACAGGCTGGCTTCTATCTGCGGGAAGGCAACTTCCCCCAAGCTTTCATGCTCTTCATGCGCCAGTCCGACCTGATCATGAACTACATCAACGGCCACCCCGAAGCCAAGACCCCCGAGGGCAAAATTGCCATCAAGAAGGCCGTGAAAGACCTGCCCGTCGTCTTCATGCACCTCGAGAAGATCAAGCCGATAATACAGCGCGACTACGACGAGTGGCAGGCCAAGGAGGCCAGGAGACGAGAGCTGTATGAGAAGCAAGGAGGGGACAAGTCGCAGAAGGCGCAAACAGCCTACGACAGGCACGCCGCTCGCGACCCTGCGCTCTCGGCCAAGTCCAAGCTGCTGGATGCTGGCGAGAACTTGGGTCTTGCCGTCGACCTGGCCAGACGGGAGATTAAGCGCCGAGATGACGACAAGCGTGCCTCCCGCCAGGCTGGCATGTCAGCCGAGGAGGAGCAGCAGCGGAGAACGGCCGGCTTCTGGAACAACTGGACAGACGAGCTGGCCAAGAGGCAGGCAGAGGACGAAGAGTTCTTCCGCACCCAGATGGAGTCCTCGAGGAGGAAGCCCGACGGAACCGATGATAGCCACATCCACGACTTTGTCCAGAAGATGAGCCGTGCCGAACGTGAGCGCGATGGTTTATCTGGCCCCCGTCCCGGTCCTCCCACTGCCGCCAATTATCACTACCCCAGCATTTCAAAGTCAACGCCACTACAATACGATGCGACGGTGGCCAGACCTCGACGAGAAGCCGCGCCGCAACCGCCACGGCCGCCCAAGGACTTTGTATCGGAAGACTACCTGGGAGCGCCAGCGCCGCCATCCTTGCCAGAACTGCCCTCCAAGGAGCAGCTCTGGCCCCCTCCGACTCCTGAACCCCTTTATCAGCAGCACCATTACCAGCCGCCTGCACCCCCGCCCAAGGAGTTGGAAGTGCCCCCTGAGCCCACTTACCAGACCCCAACACCCCCAGAGAGACGGCCTGGCCGGGAAACCCTCACCTTTAAACCCGCCGCGTACTTGGAAAGCGGCGACCCTATACGCTGTGTAATAGTTCCCGTGGGGCTACGTGAGGACTTCCTCAAGCTGGCGGCTGAAAACACACGACGCGGGCTGGAGATGTGCGGCATCCTTTGCGGTACCGCCGTTAACAACGCGCTGTTCGTGACATGCCTAGTCATCCCGGAACAGACGTGTACATCAGACACGTGCGAGACGGAGAATGAGGGCGCCATCTTTGACTACTGCATCCAAGAGGATCTGCTGCAGCTGGGTTGGATCCATACCCATCCAACGCAGACCTGTTTCATGAGCAGTAGAGACTTGCATACCCAAGCTGGCTATCAGGTCATGCTCCCTGAGAGTATCGCCATCGTGTGTGCTCCCAAGTTCGAGCCTTCGTAAGTCTGCTGTCCTTGCCATCATTAATGTTGTAATGGCGATATCGGCGTACCGAGGATATATTTTGCTGACAAGAATTCCAGATATGGTATATTCCGATTGACAAACCCACCTGGCTTGCCTCACATACTCCAGTGCTCACAGCAAAACACCTTCCACCAGCACAGCATTGATAACCTGTACACGGGAGCGGCGGAGCGCCCCGGTGGGCATGTGTACGAAACAGAAGGATTTGATTACTATGTCCACGACTTGCGACCTGGCGCGAAAAACACCAAGACGTACTAGAAGAGTCTCGACTCGGCGCCCTCAATCGAGACCATGAGGCCACTGCAGACATCCGCCCGTGAGAGAGGCATCTGGAAATCAGTTATGGGTTGCCTTTCATGGAGCATCGACGTCACCACATGGCTCACGTGTGGATCCCCGCGGTGGATTACCCGCAAGGGTCGGAGGTGGAAAGCAGAGTAACTCGAACGGGTCTGGAAAGAGAGTTGTACGGCGGCTATGATTGACCTTGACGAGGACAGCCTGAGAGAGTAGTTAAGTGGGTACTTTTCCGGAGCGTCGTATGTCGCCCGAGGGGCTGAGGCAGGATGGGCTGTGTGTGGGAATTCAGTTCCCCTTTCCAAGGAGATCATGCGTAACAACCATAGACAGTTCGAGAGAGTTGCACGATTGCATAGCGTTGGAGTCGCGGCTTGCTTGATTAAACCTACACCGGCACATTAGATACGGGGCATGAATGACGATTAGGCTTTTATGGGAGTACGAGTGAAGTCTCACGTTCCGTGGCAGATTCCAAGTGACGATATCCATACTCTACGATGCTTGGCCTATGACGGCTCACGTAATTACTACTCCTGCAAGCTACGCGATTCCAGAACGAGATCTAAGCACTCTGAATATCGACGTGCTTCGACTTCTCTCGGTTGATGGGGGCTTTCTGGGAGCGGGATGCAGGCATCATGGAGGCCTTCGTTGTTAGTTCACTCCGGCCTCCTTGTAACATCAAATCTCGTACAGCAGGCGGCATGAGCTATCATCGCAACCCAATATCGACGCAGCAGTACAGCGATCGTATCTTTCTCAAGCCGCAGCAACAATAACACTGAAATTAGAAAGAGGACTATGTGGGGTTTTCGACTGCAGGCAAAAACAGAAAGAGACCTGGAATCGTGTCATACCTACGTCCTGTTATACATGCTCACAGGCAGCGAAGACAAAAACGCACCAGGACTGACACCATGGTGGTTGAATAGGTCTACTCCGTATCAACGTGTGCCCCTGCGTGTGAAACTGATTGACTAGGCTAGATTGTGAGCAAATACCGCGCCACAGACCTGTGTTCAATAACACGGCGTCGGTGCGCACAATGCTTTTGTTTTTGTAGCAGTGATGGATAGGGCTATTCTAATCAGCAGCGTGAGTGCTTCGGCCCCCCTGGATGTTGCCGGGGCTCCACCCCGCGCCGATGCCGAATCCACCAGCGCCGATTCTGCCGCCTCTGGGGCCGATACTGCCGCCGGGAACCGCCCGATTCTACCACCGTCGATACTGTCGTTCTGAACCGCCTGATTCTACCGCTTGGACCCGCCACCCTCTACTATTTAAACAGCCAGAGGGGTCACCTTCAGGTTTCTTCACTTTCTCTGCCCATTCCGCATCCCAACAACTGATCAATGCGTCACTGAAGATTCTCGATCATGCCGATTCTCTTCTGACCATCATCACTCTTCGGTCTCACCATCTCTCTTCCTTTCTCGCAACCTCAACGACTCTCTTCACATCCGCAACATTCATCAACAACGTTAGTTTCCTGCACACAGGCTTTCGACCTGACCAACCCATCTCTCCATCCACACTCGGTCCTCGTGTGTCATGACCTTCTTCTCCTCCTCCATAACCGCAGTCTTCCTTCTTGACGAACTCAACCAAGATTTTCACCATGTTCCAGTGTATCTTCTGCCTTTGTGGCAACTTGTGCCTGAAAACTCCCTAGGGTATCTACTATTGCTTCGCCAAGGACAAGACCAAGAGAATGGATGGCACATCCAAAGATGGGCCGCCTCGCGTCTTCGTGCCCCTCTGTCAACGACGCTAAACTGGCTTATCTCTCATCTTCGGTGTACCTCGAATCGGTGAGGGTGACTTAAGCGATACATTATGTTCTCTTTGCCCAAGCGCGAGTTAGGGCGGTTTGAAAACTACCAAGTAGCCCGGCGTGACAATTTGAGATCATGGTGGACCTCTGCGTACGTGCGTTGCTTGATCGTTAAGACGATCAAGGATCGTATATGAACAACTAGGATGGAAACTCGACATCAGTATACAACAATTCGTGAGAAACGATTTCACGTTGAGAAAACTATCTGTAGCCGCAAACACTCTGGGCACCATCCTGACATATTGCCGTGTCGGCGCAGCCACCGTCAAGCTATAAGGCTCAAGGTGTTCTGGACTAGCTGCATTATAAAAGGCTTCCCGCTCCCACTCCCACTGCCTATCCCAGAACCACCTGCCGGTGTGTTTCCATTCACCTAGCACGAGTCATCGCCAACCTCGACAAACATGCCAGTCGGGTCGTGCTTCGTACCCTGGACCAGGGCGTCGCTCGCAATGATGCCGGGCTGGGTACAGTGGTTGAGGATGATCTGCGCGTAGTCCCCGATGGTCGCGCACGGCATCCAAATGTCATTGGTCGCGGTGCTACATAGCTGGATGGCGGCGTTGTAGCTGCAGCTCACGCGGCCGCAGGACCGTAGCTGCTCCGCGGGGCGCGCCGCCGCACGGCAGTCGCCCGACTTGGATCGCAGGTAGGCGATGCCTTCGCCGATGCGCCCGACGGAGGTCTGGCCAGAGCCCTCGTTGCAGTTGACGTAGGTCTAGTGGAGATATTAGCGAGGAGTCCTTCGCCACGTGAGGTTTGAATTTGGACTTGCAGCTTGCAGGATGGTAACATCCGTGTTGCCTTGGCCAGCGGCGGGAGGGTTGAACGGCTTGATCGAGTCCCAGGTGAAGTCGGGTTTGGTGGATTGAATCTGACGCTCAATATCCTGCGAAGAATCAGCAATAACGTTCTGGCGGAGGAAGGCAAGAGTCTTACCTCGAACGAAGAGCCAGTGACCTCAACACGCGGACCGCCCTCCTCGAGGATACCAGCCCAACTGATGTTGCCGAGAGAGAGATGATCTGAGAAATCACGACGAAGCGGAATGATGCCGCCGAAGGCAATGGTGAACTTGACGGCTGTCAGTATTAGGTGGTAACAAATCGAAATGGTCGCCTACCACGGCCGAGAGACCAATGATGAATCTCATGATTGCGCTTGCTTTGGTGACGATCGCGTGATGGTAGAATATGATGTTCTAGCTGTGGCACGAGATACAAGCAGGTGTCTTGGGG